TGGAAGGAGGCAGATAGTTAAAGGTCTGGTGATAGCTCAAGTGCCATCAGGAATTTGGCCTCATAAGAATAAAGATCCAGCCCTCGGCAGCACTGGGCCAACTGTAGCATTGTGAGTCCTTGTGCTATTTCTCTCTGTACCTGACTTTGCCAGATGACAACATGGTTCCACTGTGACAATCAAGGTCCAGATACCCCAGGGAGAACAGGGGGGGTCTCAAACCCCAAAGAGTACGCACTTGGATCAACTGGTGATATGCAATATTATTGTACATAAAAGTGTATGGAGTAAGGTATCATATAAAAACTGGTGCCACGCTGGTCATAAATATCATTGCGTGATGTATGTATGGATGGTGTGTGAAATTCTGTATGTGTGCGCTGGAGATATGTTCCTAAAATATGTTTGGGAGCAGGTTTGATAAACAAGTTTGGCTTAGACAAAGGAATGTGGGTCCACCTGTCTTGGTCAAGCTTCGTAAGCCAAAGGACAAAGAAAGTACATTTACATGTAAGGTAAACAAAGCAATTACGCTAACAAGCGACAACTCAGTGAGCAAACCCCTCAGCCTACCCTGGACAGAGACTGCACCCCCAGCAAGTCTCCGTGGCTCTAATGGCAAAAACAATGGCCTTTGGAGAACTACATGGGGAGCAAACAGACATTCTCATTACCCATCACTTAGGGGACATAGGAACAGCGTCCGAGTCAGAGCCTGTGAACAGTGGGTCCTCTTGGTCTGAAGGGCAGGAGCTGCTGCTAACTTGCTGCAAGTGAGAAACTACTTTAGGTGAAGATATAATTTGTTAGAATTGAGTTTTAGTCACTGGAAAGTGTGTTTTGCTTTGTTTGTTGTAACCAGTCCTATCTCTTTTCCTCTTGCTTAGTATCCCTTTACCTCTCTTTTCCTTGTTAATAAGCTTTCTTGGTTTTAATATAAACCATCGCAGTGCTGCGTATTGAAGCGAAGTCTGCAGCTCGCCTAACTGGCTGGTGTGTGCTCTGTCTCGCTGGAAGCAGCAAACTTAATAATTTCTGTGAGTGCCACAGTGGGAGGGGACGGACACTGCACAGACACGCCACTGGGGAACTCAGGAACTGGGGTGCACATAGGCGGCGAGTTACATGGGCCCGTGGTTCCCGTGCTCCACCAATATTCAGAAATGTGGGCCTGGCTCCAACAATGTTTGGGCTGATATTTTCAGAGCTGTCCCGTCCATAGGATGGACTGGGGCAACTGCCCCAGGCCCTGCGCTTTGGGGGGACTCGCGCTTCAGGCTTCAGCCCCAACCCGCCCTGCTCCCCTTCTTCCCACCCCTGCTCTGCCCCCATTCCATCCCTTCCCCAAGATCCCGCCCCCACCCCGCTCCGCCTCTTTCCGGCTCCCACCTCCTCCCCCAAACGATGCTGGGAGCCAGCGGGGTGGAGTGGGGTGGGCTGGGGCCGGGTTGCTTACTGCTGCCGGTGCCAGGCCCCCCACTAATCCCCCAGGCCGCCCTGGACCTTGCGTCCCCCTGAAGCGTGGGGCCCCACAAAGCACAGGGTCCGGGGTGGTTGCCCCAGTCCATCCTATGGATGGGACGGCTCTGCTTGGATCCGTTCTGGGCACCACCAAAAATTATACAAACCCATGGGTGCACTGACTGTTCCCTGTGAAAAGAACTAGATCAGTTCATGGAGGATAGGTCCATCAATAGCTATTAGCCAAGATGGGCAGAGATGGTGTCACTGTGGCTGTGTCAGTGTGTGTGGATGGGTGCTCTGTGTGTGTCGGTGTGGCTGTGAGCTCTGTGTGTGTGTGTGCCAGTGTGTGTGAGTGTGTGTGTGTGTGACAGCTCTGTGTGTCAGTGTGTGTGGATGGGTGCAGAGCCAGTGCTCTGTGTGTGTCAGTGTGTGTGT